TTGTTAGCACGAACTGCCTGTTATCTTGTTGTGAAACGAGCGCAGGACTGAGGAGATAGCTTTGTCAAAACGAAGTAAGACAGGTTTTATCGTGATCGAATGTACGTGCTGCGACGCCAAACGAACGCATGGTAGTGGAGGGGGATCACCTGAGGTCGCACTGCAAATGTTTCTATTGTGTATCTCCCCGCGATGACTAACACAACTGCGCGGAAATGAGTAGTATTAATAAGCAGTGGTGCTTTCTTTGAAGATTAATTATTTTCCAGAACAATGACATCACCATTTATACAGAACTGTGGGCTGTTGTATAACTTAATTAATATAATATATATGTTCAACAACTTTTTCTCAAATGTGGCTCGAAATGCTCACTTTCTGTTCGCGAAATGTTAATTTTCTCTTCTATTTTTCTGCGCGTATAGGCCAACGCGTGTATTCTGCTTTAACAGGTACAAGTACCTTATCTGGGGGGAGGGCAGGTTGTTAGCCCTTGAGGTACGCATGATGAGATGATGATTATAGTGAGGGATGAAAGGACGGCACACACACATAGACATAAACAAATACACAGACGCTCGCTCGAGGCGGGCAATGCATTAAAAAAACATTTTCTCAAAAACCGCTTACATTTTTTTCTTTAATTTTTTCACGGATAGAACAAGGAACAATTAAAAGAATGGTGCAGGTCTCATTTTCGTTTAACTCTCTGATTTTTTGAAAATTTTACAATTAAGAAAGAATACGAGACACTATGTGCTGTTGTAGCACCACTAGTTTCTGGTTTAATTTTATTCGGCAATTCTGTTCCAAAGTGCCAAAATGATTCATTTTTTCCACGTACTCCTTTCCACCTGCCTGCAATTTCCGCTGGAATTACATAACATTGAAATAGGAAAGAGCGAGGTATACAATGTAATGCAGATCATTTACGAAAACAAAATCCTACAAATAATTCGCATAGTGTGAATTGAGAATACACGCCCCTAAAATTTTCGAAAGTACGTTAACACTTGTTTTCAGCTAATAGGCACGCATTTATTTTCAAATACCCGCACAAATTCTAGTTATCTTCAAGGTTCTTGTGTATACTACACTTCTGAAATATAACCTGGCGACTGAATTCATTTTTTTAAAGTCGATTTTGGACCACTTGGTTATATAGCGACCACTGTGATATTTTGGGGGGAGAACACGTAGGGATAACACAGTCACACACAAACATCCAAGCCAGATTGATTGATTGTTCCCTTTCAGTTCCCTTTGCCGAAGTCTCCTGATTTCCTGTCACGTGTAAAACCACTCGACTGCTGACGCACAGATTTTCCTCTCCAAATGACCTTACTCGATGCTTGCTGATGCAGTTGAGAAAGCAGTCAACTCTCTCGGTTGGGTTTGTAGTTTCCGTTACGCCGTGTTCTCGAAGTTTTCGTGTTGCTCACCGCTCCCTGATACCAGTCGATATCAGTGAATACTGTCTGTGATCGATAGGAAGGAAAACATGGCGTAATGTGGCGTGAGATGAACTTCCCCGCACAGATTGCCTGGCAAATGTTCGCGTGATCAGATTGAAAGTGGTGAAACCTACAAATGACGAAGGATCTTTGAGTGGAATTTTGTTGCCCCTAATTGCGCATCGTATTGAAATGTGTTTATTGATTTTCGATTAACTTATTAATAATTAAACTTGCATTCTATTTACACCCTCTTTACGTTAAGACGGGTTTATCGTATAGCATGTATCGTTGAAGAACCTCAAATTAGGATTGCTACTTGCAGGGGATATTGTAAGCGTGTTAAGATAACTCTTTTATATGTATTTGTAGCAATGCTGAGCTCATAATTTTCGAAAATAGATATGATTAGATAGGTGTTATATTGTAATGAATTTCTTTCGGTATATCATAAACTGTTCGTCGTTAATCCTAGCATGTACAGGAGATGACATAGGGTGGAAATGTTAAAATAACTCGAATAGTTTGAAACAACTTTTTAATCAAGTGCTTACATCAATTAAATGCTAATTAGGATGTTTTCAAATATCTACTTCTTAATATTTTTTTCCAATACTAATAGTTTATTACGCCCGAGAGTTCAGGCATTAATTTGATCTAAAATAGGTAGGCTAAAAGTAATTTCCTTTTACTAAACTAGGGAACAAAATGTCATTTATTCTAAAATTTGGGTGCAAAAAGGCAAGTAAGCAATGAAAAATTATAATTGAAAAGTATATATTGTAAAAAATTATAATTAAAATATTGAAATATTTCTTCCAATATTAAAAATTTGCATCAGCACTTACATTAAAGGAAATTATCTTTTCTTTATAGTCTTGATTGTCCAAGATCACCATTTATAGTATTTGCACAATCCTTTTATCAGAAAGATAATTTTTCAGTTTCACTACCAAGAATTATTTGCAGTGGCAAATTAAATTTCGGTATAAAGGCTACACATTTATTTAATTTGCGACGCTGTCTCGACAAAATGCTATTCGTGAGTAAATTGTTCTCTTTTGAATCTTGGAATGGTGTAAGTGAAAACGCTATTACTGTGTTCGTTCTTCCAACTTGGGTGTAATTGCAAGCAATGGAAGGTCCATGTCTTATATCGTCCGCCTCAAAACGGATCGGAGGATACACAAAGGTGAGGTGGGAGGAAAATAATTACGGAAAAGGAAGGAATGGGTCAAAATGAGGCGAAATACCAAAAATCCAGAATTAAATACCAGTGGCTGAAGTAGGCGAAAAAAGACAAAATGAAAATTTTCTCCAGAAGTACTAGTTACGTGACTCCTATTGTTACATTACACAAATTGTAACAATAAGAAAACTTCTTACATTACACAAATCGTAACTAAGCCAAACTTCCAAGCTCTAGCCATGACCTGTTCTTATCAAAAGTATCAAATGGAAGGTAATCTCTGTTACAGCTTCTTTGGTGTGTAATCTTCACTCCGCAAACACATTTATCTCAAAAATTAATTTTGTACGTCTTGTTAGTTGTACTCTTAGAAATTGATAAGATACAGGCACTCTTGTACACTTCCATTCCGTGCTAACATTGCCAGAAAATATCCTTCTGTCCGAACAGAAAGTAATTTATTTCGATCGTAAATTCAAGAGTCGAAATTCAGAAATGAAAGATCAATTGATCATTGGTCATGAAATCATTCATTCATCCAAGAGAGTTGTGATTCTTGGTATTCAGACGTACAATCAGGTTTGACATTTATAAAATGTATAAAGTTATATCTGCTATAATTATAAAAGCCTGTTGTCACTTGAAAAATGTATATCTGCTATAAAGAGCAAAAAATGGAATCTATTCAATTGATGATAGTTATAATTTGACATGGAATATATATTTTATCCATAACATTCTCAAAACCAATGATTAAAAAAAATTAAAGGTAACATGATATTTACTCAGTTATTTACCTTCATGATTATAATGAAATTTTATCTCATACGAATATTATACTTGTACTTCTCTCCCATACGACACATAGTTTTTACTGTGTTTTTGACGATAAATAAATACAAATAAAAAGCGACTCTTTTAAGATCCTTTATTATCGTTATGGCTTAGGAATTGTTCTGATCGAAAAAATCTCCTTATATCTCTGCTTTCACATTATATTTAGATTGGTTACAACATTGAAAGAAATATGGTAATTGTGTCAAATTATTATTACTTAGAAAATGGATAAATTTTTATTTACATTTATGTTATGGTCTCTCTTTGTTTAAATTATCATTGTGCTCTTAACGAAATAGGCCTTACTGATAAAATTTCTTTAGTGGATCTTTAAAGAATGGAGAATTTTGTTGGATTTTTTTTATGAACCATAAAGTAAAGATAAGATTGCACAACAGTACTTATTTGCTACATTAGAAATGGGTTTGCATTCCTTCAAAAGTTACGACTTCAGATCTTTCGCGTACTGCGCAGTAATACCCTTCTGTACCAACAACAGTCATAATTAAAAATTGAATCCAGATGTCCAATTAATGGCTACTAAAGTTTACAAAGTTTCCTTACACAGCACAGATAGTTGAGGCTTTGCAGCGCTAGCGGTTTTGTTTTAAAACAACACGATTCTTTACGTAATTGTTTTCAAGGTTAAACAAGACGCGGTGCCATTCCACGTTCGCATTGACATTGCCCTGGATTTCACAAGTTCAAATGAAACTAAAAAGCTTGCCACGAGGGACAGGGATTATCAACTACTGTTTTCTACCATTCCCTCAAAAGACATAAGGCTTTTATTATTTTTGTAGACGTACATAGAAATTGAACTAGTACATCATTACATAATGCAGAAACTAATGTATGTTTTTAATGGGAATGTAAGACTTAATGAGAATATAAGTCTTATATGCGGGTTAATAAAGTACCTTTCCCAACATCAAGAAATATTAGAATAATGAACAAATATGTGGTATGTAAAATTGAAGGTAAGGTTTCGAAATTTTATGAGCATATGAGCATAAAAGATCGAAATCGATTTTATTACTTTTCGATTGCGGTTGGTCCGGAATTCTTTTTCATTTGCCGCAAAACATGGATCATGTCACGGAGTTTTTAAATTCCATTGAAAGTCTTTTTTAACGTGATTTTAGGAAATATAAAAAGTTTCAGTATACATGACCTCTAAGAGAACACGCTTGAGCCGGCCTTTGGCCCTGGTGCAGTTTGCGCATACAGCAGGAAGAGGTTACCGGAAGCGGAAAGAGCGGTCAGGAACGAACGAGGTCGCTCGTGGCGGGCGACTCGTCCGGGCGGAAGGGAGCTCGGTCTTGGGAATTGCGCCGCTTGTCGGCCGGCGATCGATTCCCCGTGAGGCCAGGGCGGGGGCGGCGCGGAGGCTTCTCAGGGCTAGCTCGCCTTAGTTGCCTTATGCAACCCGTTATCGGCCTGAGTCAGCCCCGAGTCCCGAGCCGACGCCGCGCCGGTCGACGCCCGTCGCTCAAGTAAATTTAGGCTCTCTGAAATAGCACTCTGGCCGGCGGCGGTGCCGAGGGGGCGGTATATAGCCACCTCGGTGCCGCCCGCCCGCCCGCCCGCTATACCATGGAAAGACGCTTGCTCCCCCTTGACGCATCGCCCTCTCGCCTCTTGTGCAGGCCTCGCTTGCAGCGCCGCTACGTCTTCGCCATCGGCCTGCTGCTGTTGGCAGCCGCTGGCCTGGTGGTGGTCCAGCTAGTCTACCATGTGTCGTCCGCCCACGCGGCGCCTACGCCCGTCCGGCGAGAGCCGCCCGACCCGCACGAGCCGCTGCCCAGCTCGGGGTCTGTGGAGCACCACTTTGGCCGAGCTGCCGTGTGCTCCGACGGGGCCCCTTGCTCTGCGGTAGGAAGGTAAGTGGTCGTATGCTTCGCTCCCATCCGGAGCCTCAGCGCTTCGCGGCACTGCCTTCGTGCGCGCGTTCTAGCGGCCCGCGTCGGGCGTCGACTTCTTTTCTCGTGGGCGCTCGTGGGTTCTCGACTCGTCGGCAGGACGGCGCCTGGCCTTCCGGCAATACGTGTCAGGGCCGCCTGAATGTGAAGTCACGTGACTCCATGTCTCGGCGTTGCGCCAATACGAGCAACATCCTACAACTCCGAGGCCTCCTGCGGTCGACCAATAGGAAAGCTTGTTTCAGTGAAAGTTAGCTGCGCTTGCGCCGTCGGCTTCGTTTTGTCCAGATATTTATTTACCAACTGCCGCGGGATGGGGGATTCCGCGAGCAACAGCCGAGCTGCGAGCACAGCCAAGAAGGACCAGAGCGACTCCAAGCGAAAAGCCGCTGATTTTAAAATGTCGGAGAGCCATTTTGACGAGTACGAGCACTACAACTTCGAGTACGACAAACATATCTACTCCGGTCATAGTGGAAAGCAACGCTCGAAGAAGGAGGCAGAAGTACACACCAACCACAACGATCCGAGCGGACATTCACGCAAAATTGTGACCAAGATGCAGAATACTGAAAACAATCGCAAATACGAAGGTGGCAAATCGGGCGCGAGAAGTTAGTTTCGTGATTTGTGAGTGAATATTGTGAATGAGACATTGTGGATTTTGGAGACGGTTTAGCTCTTGCAAATGGTTCTGTGATTTCGTGGTTTTGAGGTATGGCTTTTGTTGATCTTGGACAAATCCGCTGTGAAGAGGCCGCGGCAAATTCAAACAACGGACCTAATCCAACAATGGTCACAAGATGGCGGCAGGGCGCACTGTCAATATGTTCTTTGTCCGCTGGCCTCCCTAGTCTTCAAGGACTCGCGCGGTGACGCGTTTTGTTGTGCTTTCGATGTTACTATTCGCTTTAGCAATGCAAATTGTTGTGTGAAGAAAACGTCCTAGGGTGATATTTCTTAAATGTCGTATAATTCTCGTGCTTGTTTGTAGGAGATGTGATACTACATTAAATATTGTTTTTTTTTACTTTTGTGTTCTGTTTATTTATATTTCTCCTGCCGTGCGCATTTCCATCCTCTTCCCGTAGGATTATCCAGTATTTGTTTCCTCTAAACTACGTAATATGAAACTAGTGAGAAATTACCGGAGTAAAATCGTATTGCTATAATAATTGATGTTTACATTAACATTGTAAAAGTATAGTTTTAAAATTTTAATGTAACTTATTCAAAACGGATTGTAATGTTTTGGTCATTTGATTTATTTTCACTTCTAAATTTTACCTAGTGGTAACGTGATAGAATTATTTAGTGTGAATACATTTTTGTTGCCTTTTTATTTTAACAGAAAGGTTATGACGCATTAAAAATATTATTATTTTTTTTTTTTTTAGTAGAAAGTGAGAAAGTAAAGTTTTCTAATTTGGGTCACATTTTCACCTACATGTTTCAGCATTTTCAACTTCATGTGAAAGTTAATATTGATGCCAGTGTTTTGAAGAAAATATTTGATGTTCAGTAATTTCACTTTCAAATTGACTGCACAATATAATGTTGTAGATATATCAACTAAAAAGATACAAAACTATGGGAAAGGGTTTATTTTACTGGTTTTTTTTTTTGTTTTTTGTTTTGTTTTTTCACTCAAAGTTGAGTACAGTAAATATTCCCTTATTCCCATTGACACATCACTGTATTACTGTAGATAACAAATGGTAATACATTAGGTAATTTAAAAAAGGTTAAATTCATTTGTGAGAGTTGGTTTCCAGTATTCAAACAATATTGAAAATTAAGTTGTTTTACTCCTTTTGTTCTTTGTCTGAATAAAATATTATCAATTTCTATTAATATCAGTACTATTGGAAGATTTGTATTGATGTACTAATATTGGAAGGTTTGTATTGTTATAATGTACTATATGCTGAATTTATGTAAAGAGTATTAATTCAAATATTTTACTCGGTGCACAAAACTTAATTGCAATTTTATCTTTGTTTCCTAAAATATACGATGATAGTTCTTGATTAATAAATATCATTTGCCCAATTCTTGTTTAATTACTCTGAATTAACATGCTGCTAATGCTATTATGCATTCTGTTAATTAATTGGCTGACATTTTGACAATTGATGGAGGTATTAATAAAGTTTATCAAATGTGAACAAAGAAATTTGACTTGCTCTTTATTGTGGAGATCTTCATTTAATTCTAGCTTCGTTCTTACAGAGACATTCTAGCACGCAATGGCTCTGTGGTTGATGCTGCAGTTGCCACTCTACTCTGCAATGGAGTGGTTAACTGTCAGAGTATGGGGCTGGGAGGTGGCTTCTTGATGACCCTCTACCTGCATGAGCAACGCAAGGTCATCACTCTCAATGCAAGAGAGAGAGCTCCTGGCAGGGCTCACCCTGAGATGTTTAATGGAGACCGTAGCAAGGCTCAATATGGTAAGAATCAGTGAAAGGAATGGGCTCCTGTATTAGTTTATTTTTTAATGTTTTCTATTTATAATTAGGATGGACTGAACAACTAGTAAATCAAACACAATATTGAATAATATGAGTCCAGTGCCTCTTGCTACTTTGTTTTCAATGTATTTCAAAAAGTGTTTTCCAAATTTTAAAATAGAATTATTTCCTCCAACAACTAATAAAGGAAGTCTCCCATAACAGAAATTAGATAATTATTTCTTTCAACTTCTTTTGAAATATTACACTTCTGTTTCAGTAGGGTTTGTTTTACTTGTGATACAAAAAAGTATCAGTAAGTTCAGCTGTGTAAATATTTCAAGAATATGTTCTCCGAGGTACATTGACACACAGACTTTGATTGTACCACTACTTCAGTGCAAGCTACCATGGCCAATAATCTGGGATTCTGTTGATTGTATGAATCTGTAAATTCAGAGTTCATAGATGCATTGGAAATTCCATTACCCATCATTATGTAATGAAAACAATTAAATGAAAAAATTAAAGAAGAAAAATATTTTTGATTTTAACTCGTAACCTTTGGATTATGTAATTAATTTGAGAATGAAATTTGAATTGATCATGAGAAATAAAGGGAAAAACTAAATATAAGAAAATTAATTTTTACAAATAAAATTGTAACACATACTACATTGATGTGAATTACAGAATAGTATGAACATTGGGACTTTGTAAGTACTCTGTTTGCGAGTGTAATCTCTAGAATTGCTAAATTAATTTTTATGCGTTTTTCATTGTGTGATAGCGTGTTTTGTTGGTCATAATTTAGGCCATTCCTTTCAAATTATTATCTTTTCTTATAAGAAGAAGTTTTGTTTGTTTCATACAAATCTATAGTTTCATTTCAATTATAATGAAATTTACTACTCATAAAACATGAAAAAGTTATTGTCTGAGATTTTGTAAAAAATAGCATTTTTCCCCTTTCCTGCCCCTGAGGGCAATATTTAAATATTCATTTCAATTTTTCACAAATATCTCGATAATTATGAGAAAATTCATCTAAGTGAACTCAATTTTTCTGAAAGCCCATAAAATTTCATACTAATTGCATTTTGATTCATTCCAGTAGAGCAATAAAGTGAAGCAAAGGTGGGATTTCGGATTTTTTATGGGGGGGATTTGGATGCTTGTATAAAAAAAATGAAATATCGGTTTTTGTTAATACTTTAAGTTAATTGTGCTTCAATTATACATTTTCCTATCAAATATATGGTCCTATCAAATATACAATTGCTATTATCCACCATTCCGTGATTGTTGTATGAAAAGGAAAAATTATCATATACTTTATTTACAAAAATGCAATGAAAACATTGATTTTTCTTTGAGAGGATAATTGAAAGTTGATTGAAATGCAACATTTAGTATATTGAAAGAGATTTGATTTCATTTATTTTGTATTTGATTTATGGGGGAGATGTAAAATCTATGTATGTTTTCTTGAGCTCCAGAATCCCTACCTTCACTCTTATCTCACATAGTTGAATTTTTAATAAAAATACCCACAAAGCATGGTTAGAAAATTTTGAAAAACAGATATTTTCACTACTTAAGTAATAATAGTTATTTGAATTGGTAAATGAACTAGACGATTTTAAGATAATATGCTGCTTGTATTGCTAATGAAATAATGTACCACACCTCTGGTTCTACTACCATGACTAAGAAAAGGAGTGCTCAACAAAACATGCGCAGATAATGAAGTACATTTATATCCAGAAGCAAAACAAAGGTCCATCTCAGAATATGCTTAAAGGATCATGGACTCTGTTTGAAAAAACTGATCAAGATTTTATGACTTGACTTCATTCTTTCAAATTGGTCCAGGTCCTTTGGCAGTGGGAGTACCAGGGGAGCTGAAAGGCTATTGGGAAGCCCACAAAAGGTATGGTGTCCTACCCTGGAAGGAAGTGGTTATGCCTGCTGTGGAGATCTGTGAGGAGGGTTACAATATGACCAAACATCAATCTGATTTCTTAAATCTGTATGAAGACAAAATTAGAAAGGATCCCACACTGAGGTGAGTGAGAAAATACTATTCAACAATTAGCAATATTTTCTGTCATCATTTTTCGTTCACTGACCTCAAAGGTTTATGATGTTTAAGATGTAATAAATTTTGATGTAAGTAATTGAAGCTTGTCAACTATTGTGTCAAATCTTTGTTCATTGAATGAATTCTTTTACAAAATAAATTAGAAAATTCTTTTCAACTTTGTATTTTTCAAAAGATTTTAAGATAATATGCTGTTTTATAAGGCAATTACAGTTTTATTGTCAGTTTTACACATTTACATATTAAAACAGAAATAGGCAAATTTCTGGGTATTTTAGAATATTCACATTCTAAATATCGTTAAGTGTGAATAATGATGTTTTTTCATACATACTGGAAGGTGAAAATATATGTCAATAGTTTCAGTGAGTGAAGAAAGTAGTAACTTATCACTTCTTTCAGTTGTCGAATACAGGCTCTTCCTCGTTTTCTGAAGCCCCACCAACTTTTGTGTTGACAAGAGACAGTTGGTGTCAATGAGAATGGAATAATTTTAGATAATTTGTGTTGTAAAAATTAGAAAGTTCTGTTTTTTTTCTAAGAATTTTGTATTAATCTTATCTGTCACTTCTTGTATTCTAAATGTGTGTTTTCATCAACTCTTCATATCGTGTGGCAAAAAAAAAAAGGTACATTAAATGTGTCAAGACTCCATTTTAAGATCCATAGGTTGGATCTGTGTTTAAGATATTAATTAAAAATTACTACAGTAAATGGTGAGAAACATCTGAAGAAACAAAAATTCCTCTTGATGTTGCACGCAGAAGCAAAAAAATAGAGAGTGGCTTTCAGTTATAAGATAAACGAAAGAAGTGTGATTAACAAATATAATAATTATATATTCGCATTTTTCAAGAGAGTACCCAAATGAAAAATTGTGTTTTAATATACTTGGGCATAATCAGGGTAATATTTGAACTAACTTTAAATGGTATCAGAAGGCCCAGATATTTTCAGCTCTTATTTCTTAGCAATCACTGATATTTTCACTGTTAACAAGTTAAGTAGGGGAAGGTAGGGCAAATTTGAATGTGCATTTAAAACCCACAAGATTTGTGGCCTTTCAGTTCTAGGACAAGTATTTTGTCGAGAGGTGTGTTGGCAAGATTGTGTGAACATGTCATGGCACTAGCATATCGGAAGAGCAAATTATTTCTGTTTTTCCGATTTTCCTCTGTGCCTTAAAAAAGGAAATAACGTCTTTGCCATTACAATGCAGAAGCTCCATGGAGCAAAGTGGAATGTTGCTATTCCATTTTGCCCTGAAATTTTATAATTATTACAACTATAATTGTTTGTTTTAGGAGTAAGTGAGATTTGTTACCTCCTCAGTACCTTTTACTCACAAATTGTTAAGAAGTGCCTTCAAAATCACCCAGGCAAAGCTGTGACTCTCCACAAAGACAGTTCCCTCTTTGGAGAAGCATTTGTAAAGGCAGCCACAACACAGAATGGATAGATTTATCTAGATTTAGAAACACAGGGATATGCTCTCAGTTTTACTGAAAACAGCACAGACTTTTTATGTGTTATAGAAAAAAGATATCTAATAATTTTTGAAGTATGTATCAATATTTTTTATAACAAAATGTTCATTGTATTGTTGCTACAAGCTTAAAGGTACCACTTTGCCCCATATTCATTCTGTGATCCCCAAATGGGGATAACAAACATTTATTATTTCTATGTTGCTGTCGCTAAGAATCTTCTATAAAAATTCTTCATCACTCTTGTAATTTTCCTCTAGTTGAACCTTTGAGAATCTGATGTTGACAGTAGGTTTTTCTTGGAACTTCAATGGGGGATTACAATTGTCACTAAACAAATAGATGACAAATAGATTCCTTTGTGTGACTGAGACCTTATTTGTTCAGTTCTCTAATCCATATTTTAATTGGTTTGGCGTTTTTAGTGCAGACATCTCATGATTTTGAACCTTCCTATTCCAATGTTATTATTTCTCACTCTGTCTTGTCTTGTGATTCCCACGAGGTGCCTTAGAAATCTCATATGTGCCACGTGTATTTTTTGCTTGTCTGTGAGAAATTTAACTTGCGTGTTTTATAATTTAGGAATCCCTCTGAAAATATTAGGAAGAAAACAATGTTAATCTACAGCTTACCTATGGGCTAGGCAGTCATTTGCTTAGCATCAATAACAAACCTCAAAAACATATTTCTATTTTGATAACTTGATTACTAGTTTTGAAAACTCTGGATGAAAGAGGCATTATTAAGCACTTGGTAAATAATATTTTTGAACACATTAAAACCAGTCTCTAACCGATATCTAATCAGTAAAAAGTAAATTATGACTATAACTCATGGTGTGTTAACAAGTGTAATCAGTGCCAGGTTACCGAACAGGCTGAATAGGCTGCTGCCTGGGGCGTGCAATTTTTAGAGGTGGGCGAATTTAAGTGAATGCAAAATTTCATAAGGCAAACTTTTGAATATTTTTTATAGAAATATTTACTTCCATATTTGTCACAAAAGAAAGTATTAGTTAATCAAATATATAACCATTAATAATACAGATAAAATAGATACAAAAATATCATATATTTATTAAATAAATATCGTGGTGAGAATTATTTATACATATACATATAATTAATTATTTATATGTACACAATATTAGCATCAGTTTCAGTTATCATTCAACAATTTTTAATTCAAAATATTATAAATAGCTTTAATGTTCTTGTTTTTCTTCACTATCAAGAATTAGCCTGATAGCCTATTTCATCATCACTCCAATCATCTCTTCCTAGGACATCCTATTTCACATCTTCCTACAGGTTTATAAGATAATATCGATTTGTATTCTTGTGTTATTTATTCTGTTTATATGTTATATTCTGCATTGTTTATTTTCTTTAATATGGTCATTCATGGAATATATATTTAGATCAGATCTAATCTCATTTCTATTTGTTCTAATATCGAGCATCCTTTCACTGCCCTAAGAAATTTCATCTCTGCTGTGCATTGTTGATCTTTTGCTGATAGACTTAACAATTAACTTCCATTTGTTAATACTGGTGCTTCCATTACTTATAAATTATTACTTATAAAATTCCATTATAGTTTCATTCATTGTTTCAGTTTTGAAAGTTCTATGAATCTTTTCACACATCATTTGATATTTATTTACTTTATTTTGCTTTCCCTGATGTCACAGCCCCAGAAATTTAAATGTGACACCTATTCTATTATCTGGCCATTTATAACAATTTTGGAGCACCTAGGGAAGTACCTTTTAAAAGCCATAACTTTAACAGATATTTGAAAATCATAGTGCTCACTTACCTAGTTTAAGCAGTATATAAATTATTGCAAATTATTTTGTTTTCTTTATAATTATTTTTGAAAACTCTGGATGAAAGCGGCATTATTGAGCACTTGGTAAATAATATTTTTGAACACATTACAAAATGCCTACTAACCAGTCTCTAACCGACATCTAACCAGTAAAAAGTAAATTATGACTATAACTCATAGTGTGTTAACAAGTGTAATCAGAGCCAGATTACCGGCTGAGTATGCTGCCATGAGTATGGTGCCATTGTCATCTGCAAACATTAAAGTATTAATACATTTATTTTGGAGGTGTACCTTTGTTCTAGGATTTATTTCATTATTCCATTGTCTTATGATATTATCTATTTATAATTAAATAAAATAGGTGATAATGAGCACTCTTGTCTCAATCCTTTATTAATTTTCAATGCATCTGTTTTTGTTGGTCCAGTATTATGTATAATTTGTGTATTTTTATAAAGAGTTTTTATTACATGTATTAAATGAGTATCCTCTTTTCTTCATGATATTCCATAATATTTTTCTGTTAACTTGATCAAATGCTTTTCTTTATTAGTGTAATATTATTGTTGTGTTTTCTTGGCACAATCTTCCTTTCCTGAAGCCTTCCTTCATCTGTTAACCAAGCATTCACAGTTTTCTTTAGTCTATTATTGATAATCTGTGCATATAACTTATAGGTTGTATTGAGTAAGCTTATTCCTCGATAGTTCTCACACAAGTTTCTTTCTCCTTTTTTACATAGGATTTAAACTCTGCAGTTTTCCATGCAGTTGGTATTTCTTGGTATACAGATACCACCATTGTCAATAGTGTGGAAACGTACCACTTCTCTTTTAGTTTTATTTAATTACTTCATAAATTTATAAGCTATTTGTTGTCTACCATGTATGCCATTTTGTATGTTGGATATTAACTTTTCCAAGGATTGTTGGTGGGCTTGTCTTACTATTTTATGGGCATAATTGTGTTGCTTTATTGTTAAAAAAGCAAAATAAAAAACAGGGATAAATCATTTGAATGCTTAGGGTGCACATAAGTCAGTCAGGCACTGAGTGTAACAATTCAAATAAAATGATAATTATAATTTGGAAGGACAACAATTATGTAAAATTGCTTTTATAACACCAGGGTGTGACACAAATGGGCCAGATTGTCAAAAAAGAGTCCACTACTAAACAATACCTTCTTGCAAGTGGGACTGTGATTCACAAAAAAGTATAATTTGAATTTTAGGAGAAAATGGCTTTTCTCTTTTTTACCAATTTGATTGATGTAGACATTTCTTAAAGAGAAGTCTAGTATTGCAGTGAATATATACCTGTGATTTTCCTCCTATAAAAAGGCAAATTACTTTTACTAAACTTTCTTTAAAACTTAGACCACAAGTAGCTAGAGAAAATACCCTCCCTACTACAACAAGGCCTACGTTAGGCAAGCTTCTGTACTATAAAAAGGGAAAGTGTGCATTATATAAAAAGGATATGAGAAATGTATTGACAGATTACTTATTCACTGTTTTTAAAAGAGGATAGTAAATGAGAAGCAACTCAATTCAATTAAAAATAAAATATATTATTCCTCATTTGGAAATCAATTATTTTTATTGTAATATTAATTTGTCAGTGTGGCTTGTTACAAACTTTTTTTTTTACTAAACTCTCCTGAATGGTTGCAAAACATGGGTAACAACATGTAGAGAAAACAGGAACATTGATGTTGAAGAAATGCGATAACAGAAGTATGTGAAGAGTTGTACATTAATGGACCATATCAGAAATGATGATATAAAAGAAGAATGGGGAATTACCAGCTTCCAAGAAAAGATAAATACTTATAGAGAAAAAATGACTAGACCATTTACAAAGAATGAATAATGAAAGATTGCCCAAGCAGGGCTATTACTATTTCCCAAAATAAAAAAAAGAAGTACAAAGACCAAAGAAGAGATGATTTTCTATAGATAACTTTGCCAGAACAAGATAGATTAGCATACTACTGCTGCTGATAATTAATTGGTTTTTATTTATCATATCAGTTTTTTTTATCAAATTTTATTGGAGAATAAAGTTTATAAAAATTTTCTCCAAAAATATTTTCAATTTTTATGTGAAGTATGTGGTAGTTCATTTCATTTTAATTCTCTTTACAGGTCAGTATTTGAACACAGTTCTGGCAGAATGCTTCATATGGGTGAAGTAGTGAAGCATGGAAAGTTGTGTGAAACTCTGCGCTTGATATCTGAGCGTGGTGGAGATGATCTCTACACTGGTGAGCTTGCCAAGATGCTGGTTGCTGATATGCAAGAAATGGGTGGTGTCTTTACTGAAGATGATCTCAAATCATACAGGTTTGTGTTAATATTTTGTACCATGATTTTTTTGCATTATTAGAATAAGTTTTTTAATGTTCTAAAAGAAGATTCTGGATGTTTAAATGATTCACACAGATAGTTACTCTGAAACTTAAGTGTCAAGATTTTTGGTCGTGGTGAAACATGAGATATTATAGAACTTATAGTTTTAGATTTCAATTGGAGACTGATACCTTTTTATATTAAAAAAAAACCAAACTAGATGGTTGAGGATGGTTGGTATTGAATATTATTTCATTAATATTTATATTACTCTTATTTTATATCTATTAATCATGCTGAAGATAAAGTTCAAAATATAAGTGAATTAACAAAATAATTTGAAAAATTAGTCTTAATTAAAATTTTTATATACTTATATTAAACAGTTTGTAGATTGTTTTTAAAATACTAGTGTACCATCTTAATAATCATGAAATAAAGTAAATAATATTTTAAAATATTAGTACTTGCAGCTTTTGATATGCGATGTATGAAATTTTATTTTGGAATCAGCATGTAATAAATTTATGTTTTAAATCAAAGTTTTACTTTCTGTCATTTGTAGATACATACTTGGCTATATATGTAGTATAGGGAAAGTTATGTAATGCTGTGGAAAGTCAATTTCGAAATTTCAACGAAAATACAAATTTTGGGGTTTCCCAAAAGAGTGTTGTTGTTAGTTTTTTTCAAAATGTCTGTGAACATGTGTACAAGAGTAGAGGGAAATACACTTCTAAAGATAGCTTTGGTTGGACTTTCACTGTTAACTCTGAATGTTTGAAATCCTTTTTCTGTTTTCCTACCATTACAATATTGAAGATAGTTTTTACCTTTGAATGAAATTTGTTTTCCATAATTAATTTTTTCATTATGGTTCTGCACATTTTTTGAACATTTTAGTAGTTTTTTTACAATTTTGTGTGAAATATGGGGAATATTAAAAAAAAAAAATATCATAAACAAGAATTTCTCAAAATATCGTAAACAAGAATTTGACTTTTATTTATGTCATTAATTTTTACATTAGTGGGGATATTCCATTTTTGAGTACACATGCTTTAAATGATGCCTTATTAAGTTTTTCGATAACTCAGAAGTTTTCGGTTAAAATGAGTTCAAATTTTCACATTTTCAGAAACGCTCAAGTACCATTTTCTCAAAAACAGATCCAAATTTTCTTTTCGAACTTTTTGTGTGGTTAATCCTAAATACACTATAGAAGATGACATAAAAATTTCACTTCATGCTTTTTTTCTTTTTTTTAAATTACTCAAAAAATATATAATTTTTTAAAATATCTCCCATGCTGGTAATTTGTACATTTCCAGCGATTTGTATACATTATTGCATTTGTGAGTGAGAGTGATTCAAATGCCTTTGAATGAAGTTTCTCAAAAACTTTGTTTTCCGTGAAAAAGAGCTTCAAATTTCACATTTACATGAACACATAAATGGCGTTTTCTTAATAGCAGCTCCAAATTTTTCAACAAAAATTACCATGTAGTAAAGGCTCCTGCCATCAGCCCTGGATTTTAATGTTATTTTGTAGGTATTATTAGTTTGAATGTAAATAAACAAATTTGCCTCTTTATCTATATTATGTTTGTGCAGCCTCTTTGTGAATTTCAAGTTTGAAATTTACTGGAAAATTACTAGTAACTTTATTGTTAATTTTCAAAATGTTCTAAAACTGAATAAAAATATCAATGCAGTTTCTAAATTCCTGGATTGAAAGAAAGATTTTCATGGCATATTGATTTTTTTCTAAAATTCACTCACTTTATTATTCTTTACTCTTGTTTTGGTGTGAAAGTTATAGTTTCTGTATGAGAAGGATGTGACCATTTATGAGTTTTCAACAAGTGCATAATGTTTGCCAAAATAATTTTGAGTTTCAATTAAATTACATAAAACACTTTCTTGAAATTTATTTCATCAATAGAAATGAGAAATACTGTAGTATTTAGAATTCAAAAGCACACAATACTTGTCTTAAAATTTAGAGGAAAAATGAACTGAAGTTGATATGATAAAGCAGTAACAAATATCAGGGGAATTTAAAGTAGTAGATTTAGCATATGGCTAATTATTGTGTATAGATTTATTGCTGCTTTAATGAGTGATTATTTATGTGCTTCAGTGTACAATGGAAAGAACCTGTGTCGGTGACCCTGAAGACTGGAGAGACTGTGTATTCTGTTCCTCCTCCGGGATCTGGAGCTCTTCTCACTTTCATGCTAGGAGTGCTCGATGGTTTTAATTTCACTAAGAGCAGCGTTTCTTCAGTTAATGAAACAATCTTAGCGTATCATCGAATTGTGGAGTCCTTCAAGTTTGCTTTTGCTCAGAGAACAGAGTTAGGAGACCCTGACTTTGTTAATACTACCCAAGTAAGTGCAATAATTGGATGAAATTATCACTTTGAAGATGTATACTGTCACTGTCTACAAATTGTCTTAAACCTTGATTTAAGATTTTGTTACCTTTGGCATAATTACTTTCCTAAACATCTTTTATTGTGATGCCTTCATAACTAAATCAGTCTTTGTACAATATGTTATCTAAAAGAAACTTCACTTTTTTACAGCTGGTGTTGCAATTGACTTCACCAGAATATGCAACTCATATTCGCAATTTGATTGATGACAATTCTACTTGGCAAGATCCAAAAAAATATGGAGCTGTGTCTCTGAATCAGGATGATCATGGAACTGCTCATGTCTCTATTATAGGTCCCAACGGAGATGGTTTGGCAGTCACCAGCACTGTGAATCTCTAGTAAGTAGATAATCATAATGTTAAGAGCACACATTCTTTGTTAAGGTAAGTATATATAAATATAGTGCCAATTTCAGAACCATTGATTGGAAGTGTCATCACTCTCGTACATCCTCTTCTGAGGAAGGGATAGCAATAGTATAGCAGAAGCTATAAAAATGAGGAAATTGTGGAAAAATGAGGAAGCTATAAAAATGAGGATAATAATTAAGTATTATTAGCAAGTTGTGATTATTCCAAAAGGAAAGAATTTTATAATACTTCAGGCACTTTTTTTTTTTATGTTTTACTTTAAAGTTTCATAGGCATGAATTATTGCAAAATGAAAAAAGAACTGATTGTGAGCAAGAGTTTTTTAGATCACAAAGAGCAAAAAAGATTGGAAGAAACAATGTTTGTTAATTAAATATCCTTTCAACAATAAAATGAACACTAACATAAGGGCTACTCACAGGAAATTTAGGAAAAAACTTATGACACTGTTTCATTAAATAAATTCTGGATGGCCATGGATGAACAAGACTTAAAGATATGCTTACTAAAAGCTGTCAATTACAGGGGAAATTTAAGTATGTTTTTTATATTTACATGTCGGTGACGAATATTTTAGGCTAGCTGCAAAGACTAAAGAAAGCAATGAAAAAAATAAGGGTTAGTAATAATAGATAGTTTTGTTTTAGTTCAAGGAATATCATCTAAGCAAGTGTGCTCTCCTGACACTAACTATAGAGTGCTATACAGCTCTGTTCATTTAGAACCTTCAAAAAGTGCAGGCAGAATGAATTTTCCTTCAGAGTAGACCTTTATTCACTTCAGTTCACATGTCACTTTTTTGTTCAGGGGTAAGTCAAATACATATTCACAAATTTAATTATATATTTAATTTTAAATTTTATACTTATAATTTATTGACAATAATCTCACAATTTGCTTAAGAACTATTATACTAATATTTTTATACAATGAACTATAATTGTTAATTATTATATTGAATAATGAACAAAAAGGGTAAACTTCTCATTTTATATTGCATCCAGAAGGAGCAAATCCAGATCTTGACCTCAAGTTAAGCGACTACTATCTAATTTAATTGTCATTCTCTGCTTGCCTGTCAGTTTGTCTATTTATCTACTTAATGTACATATATAGATATACATGTTCCAAACCTTTAATACCACTACAAACATTCAACTCTTACATCATTTTGAACCCACCTCACAGTGTATACATACCATGCTCTGAACCTCTGTCTCATAAGGCCTAATTTATTGACTGTACTAATTGTAAACATGGTACAGCTTTGTATTATAATAATTTGATAAAACTAATAATGTGTACTTGAAACTGACCTTTTTATTCATACTCAGCATTTCATGTGGTTTATAGAGTTGAGTCTATGGTACGTGAATGACTCTTGACCCCATTAATTTCCACAGCAACAATGCCAATAGTTATTTTTCAAAATTGAAATCATAATCGCACTCTTTAATAAACAGTTTTCTCAAAAGCTTCTCAAAACTACAGAAAATATTGTAAAACATAATACATTATGTCAGTTTAGCAATGGTTCAGTTTACTTTTATGAAATATATATTTTGAGGAATTCATTCATGATCTCTCACTTTTTCTATCCCATAATAGTAAAAAGGAAATATGACTTTAAGAAAATCTTAGAAGAGTATGTTTTTATATGGAAATATTAATTGGAAGCTTTGGAGCCAATAAGGATGAAATAGTATTTGAGGTTTTCTGGAAATTGGGAATTTTGAACCCATTTTTACAGAAAAGTTTTGTTTCAAGAAATTTGATCAGAAATCATTTCAAGCACTTGTAATTACAAATGCAATAATGTATAAAAAAATGCATGTAATGTAATTAAACAAATGATATGAGAGAAATTGAAAAATTAAAATAATATATTAATATTGCATTAAGTAATGTTATTCTATGCATTTAGCTCTCTCCTAAATAGTTTAAGGGAAAAACTTAAATTATTATTTCAAGAATATCTTTTTAATTTTCACTAAAGTATTCTGTAACATAATAAAAAAAGAAAAAAAAAGGACAAGAGGAAGGTACAAATGTTTTGAATGCCTCTATTAAACTTTATTCTTTATATGTAGAAAGTGTGGATGAACAAACGATCTGTGACTCATTTAAGAATATGAGAAAAATGTGTGCTAAGAAATGTAGCTCTCCCGAAAGTTCATAAGCAAATCATGTGTCAAATTGTTGTAACTTGAGTTCAAGTCATTCACAATATGCTTTAGAAATTTTAAGTTAAGTTGCTTAATTTATTTATATTATTAAAATTTGTAAGTTTGTTTGTAATTGGCAATTCAGGGTTGGATTAATCCAACTTTTGGCAGCTAGCAGTGTTACCAGGCCAGGGTCCTGTTTCTTATTTATTATTCATGTCTGTAGGTACAGGAGACATGGCAAGCATGACGTATTCCCATCACTTAATTATTGTGCTGGAGCATTTTTTCTTTCACATAGCTATAAAAACTAAGACAATTTGTATCAGAAAGCTTCAGCTTCATTCTTGCTCTGGCTGGGAGTCAAACCCAGGACCACCTCACAGGAAGCTAGCATACTGTGCACAAGTCATCCATGATTTACACATTAAAATATAAAGTTTTATAAGTGTTAATTAGAGTCAGATCTGAAGAGGTGGAAAATGTCTATTATTAAGACCAATTAAGAAATTCCAATATTTTTATATAATAATTAATGAGAATGTAAAACCTGCTTATGTGAGATTTCTAATTATTTAAAGCTTGTAGTACAGATGCACAAATTATGAAAAATGAAACATTTTGAATAAGTTTTATTTTGCCCTATTGATGTAAATGCCTTTTCGGGTATTTTCTTATACTATCTTTGTTAATAATAAAAAAAATCAAGACTCCTTCTCTTGATGAAAAATAAATGCTTAAATCATTTTGAGTTTTAGTAGTTCAATAATATGTGGTAACAACATAAGTGGTAATGAAGTTTCATTTTCTTGTGTAGATTCAGTATATCATTTCAGTATGCATGACATACTCAGTATGTTAGGAGCCCAAAAACTTGCTTATTCTGTACTACATATAATTATTATAAGATATCAAGTGGTGGTTCTTGGGTAAGCATTAGGCCATATCCTACCCAACACCTGCATGTTGGGGTAAGTCAATAACCCTGACTTCTGACATTGATATCTTGCTGTACCAGATATTCTTCTAGGGAAGCTCTGTTAAATCAGAGAATTAAATGTATGGTAACTCTCATATCTGCCATCACTTAGAAGAAATTAAACTGAAATGGGGTGAGCAGCTGTGGTAACACCAACTCAGTGGAAATGGTGTATTGTTACATGATTCCCAGAATCCCTCTGTCCTCAAATTTTGTAGAAACTCAGACACAGGGCATATTGTGTGAATGTCATTTACAATGTCATCAATTTGTAACTACTAACAATTCAGTTTTTTTATTTTTATTTTCATGAAAGTGGTTTCTTAAAAGTGATAAATTAAGAAAATTGCAATAAAGCGGCTGGTCAGTGACAGAGTTTGTCTTTTATCTGAGGTACAGTTTATGGATTTCAGTGTTTGTTTCAAGAAAAATAAGTTATTTAGGGGGTGGTCATTTAATGTAATTGGGGTTGTCTTTCAAAAAGGTTTCTCTCTTGATTTTCGTGCTTCAGTGCTACTGTTATTCTCTTTTGCATTCCCTTGAGATTGGATAATATGAATTGTAGGAATAAAAACATTTTTTTTTTCTGTTTCAGTTTTGGTGCCAGTATTGCTTCTAAGCAGACAGGAATAATTATGAACAGTGTAATGGACGACTTTTCCAATAAGGATTTTAAGAACTACTTTGGTTTACCATGGTCACCAAAAAATTCACTTCTTCCTGGCAAGCGACCCCTTTCCTCTATGAGTCCCACAATAATTATTGGTCAAGATGGAAATATAAGAATGGTTGTTGGAGCATCAGGAGGCACCAAGATCCCCACTGCCATTCTTTATGTGAGTGGGTTTGTATAATTGTATTGGTGTGGCACACTTTAGAAATTGAATTGGATATGATGGTATTTGCATGTTAGATATGTTGTATATTATTTGCAATAATAATTCTACCAAAAAAATTTTTTTTTTCACACATTAACATTTTGTATGCATTTGTATTTTCAACTCAACATTGTGGGTTAAGAATTCTTAATATACGAAAAACTTCCAGTGAGAAAAATATTCATTCAAATAAAATAAACATTTTGAAAAAAGATTTAGCCCAAAATATTAAAAATTATAGAAGTTATAAACATTTATTTTTGACTGTGCAACAGAGCGCTACAGTCAATTGTCAACTCGTGACTTCTGAAACTCGACTTCTCTTGAAAAGATCAGATGCAAAAAGTTGAGTTGGTATCTGCACAATTAGACGAAGAAATAAATGACTGGAGAAATAGTATTTTAAGAAGGGTTGTGTTGATAGATTGTTAGTGATTACGGGCAATTCGACTGCTAAGGTCTTCAGTTTCTTAAGCGTAGTGCATGTTTTCCGTTGGGAGGTAAGAGTGATCTTCCCCTGCTGCATGACAAAAACTCTGGTGTCGACCTAATGTCAGCAAGTGGGGCACTGCCCTAAACAGGTAACTCTCATCAGCAAGTCACTGCCCCAGCCGGGACGAGCTATAAGCTTCTGACTTGTCTCCTGGCATGTGTGGTAGTGTCATAGACTAAGGAAGTATATATCATTATTCTATGGTAGTGTAGTGAATGTTAGTGTAAATATGTGTAAGGAAGGGGTGATAAATCGAAAAAAGAAGAGGAAGGAAAGATTACATGTGGTCCATGGCCCAGTTGTTAGAGTACTACTCAGGCAGGTGTTGATTGGAGAAACCACAGAAAACTACTGATCAGAGAAGCCAGCTTCTAGAATTCTCCTCCAGAAAGCAATGGAATTTGACCTAGCTGACAGGCTAGTGTTGAAAATTCTTTCATCGTTGGGACTCAAAGCTATGACCACCTGGTCAGAGGGACTGTAGTGGGACATCAGTTGATGCCCTGAGCCACCTCTCCTGGTGGGTTGTGGTTGTGCCTGTTATTAAATCATTAGCATCACGTGGACTTAGCTTTAGAGGGTGTAATGAGAAGATTGGTTCACGCTCACATTAGTATATTTGGCAACAAAGGTAGAGGCATGATTTATGTATTTCACTGATTTATCTTCACAATCTGGACACAAAACTTTCTCCTGTAGAGCATTTCAGTATGCTGTGATTCATCGTTTTGCTTGTGTGTACTTGTGACTTCAATTGTTTTCAGTGCATGCTGAATATGTTTTATTATTCAATAAGAACAGTTTATGATGTTCAAAGTCTTTAATTATGGAATAATTATATAAAGGAATCACCATTTTTTTGTTATGTCATTATGCACATCCTTGCTCACCTTATGCACATTCATCACAAGAACAAAAAATTAGTTACATTTCCACATAGTTACATTTTTACATTTCCTTCCTCAAAAATCATACTATCTATGCCCCTTCTTGAATTATATTCTGGTAACACTAACAGGATATATTTTTTTCATTAAATTTTAAAGATCTTTTAACATTTGTCCACACTTATATTTTTTCTCTGATCATAAATCGATGCTTGCTTTTATAATTGCACTAAAATAATTATCTTTTAATTTGCAGGTGATTGTTCGACATCTATGGTTTCAAGAAAGTGTAAAGGAAGCAGTTGATGCTAGTCGCTTTCATCATCAGCTGTATCCTATGCATATTAGCTATGAATATGGAGTGCTTGATGTAAGTTCTAACTAAGCATCATTTCATCTTTTTATTAATTGTAGTTTTTCTGTTAATCGCAAAGCTAATAGTACCGCTTTTGTTTTCTTCTAATTATAAAATGAAATATAATATAATTTAATCTGGTTAATATAATTTTACTTTTTATGGTTAGCAAGAAAGATTATCTGCTTCCAATGGAAATTTCCATGCTAGATTCAAAAACGTGAATGCTCTCTCAACATTCAGTTGTATCTTCATAAAACATGTATGCAAGAAATTGTGAATTCATGTGCATTTATTACAAACTTAAAACATACCAAAATGTTACAGTTTTTGGGTGTGTAAATTGAATATAAGTCATCACTTTTGGATGTAGAATAATTATTTTATATTTACATACCATTACCAAGGATATTACCTGTTATGTTTTTGTTATCAGTGTTATACATTCCTGTGTGTCAGAGTAAGTGAATTAGAACAAACATTCTTGCATATAGTACCTATTTTCTACTTCTAACACATCGAATTGAAATCTCTCATATTTAACACTTATGACTTCATGATTGTTGGAGAAAATAATATGAAATATCTGGGAAAAAAATTCATTTTGATAAACAAACTTACTGTATCTTGTTTCTATGAAATTCTATGCGAGTTCATCTTTTATTGGTGAGGGTATAATTGGTTTTAATGATTTCCCAAGAAATATTGGGTAACATTTAAATATGATCCTTGTGTAGATGTTTCAAACTCCTTTTATTTACAACCGGCCAGTTTCACTAGCCAACTTTGTTTGCTTTGCTCTGTAAAGTCATGGAGGTGAGCGAATTTGAGTCTTGCAGGTTCCTGGTTGGGTGACAGGCTAGGAACTCTGGAATCTAACAGTGTCCAGCCCCTCGCCGAAGGGATAAAAGGCACTGTGACGTGATGAGACGTGACAAATATAGTAATGTAATTACTCAATTACTCAATGACAAAGGATTACTTGAGGGAAAACGCTCAATGCCCAACAAGGGTTAAAGAGCTGTGTTGCATCAACAACAACAACAACAACAACAACACAAAAAAAGAAACAACTGTATGCTCACAGCTGAATAGTGCTCTCGTTAGAGTGCCATAATGAAATATGAATTCATATGAGCTTCATAAAATATGAAATGTAATTTTATAATATCAAGAAATGAATCCAATAATCTTATCATTGTGCTATGGTATCACATACAAGAAGAGGGTTTTCTTATATTATGAGCATTATTATTGTTATTCATATTTTAACAAAGTTTTTGAAGTATCCTTACATTTTGTGAATTGAAGGTAAAGAAATTACCATCTTTGGCAAGAGACAGACGTTGAACAGACGGTAGTGTAGGTTACGGAACGCTGATTTTTTTTTTTTGTTGATTAAAAAAATTATTTACAGAAATAATTTCTTTTGTTTAGACCTATACTAACACAATAAAATATTAAAACATTTAAAAAGTATGAAGAAATAAAAAGTTTTGATGCATAAATTGTTGTAATGAACAGAAATATTTGTTTATCAATGATATATTAATTAAATCTGTTAGATTAGGGAGAATATATTCAAAACTGATCTATAGTATATTCTGGAACCCAGTTAAAGTAGTAGTGAATATTCCTGTCCATACATCAACAATGGCATCTATTAGTCTTGTTGGCAAAAATGTATTTGCTTATGAACCCTCATTTCTCTCAAAAATTTTCCTCAGTCTTTATTGTTCAGTGCAGTTAGCATCGCCAACTAAATTGGACAGTCGGTTACCTCAGGTTTTTATTTGGCATGTGTAATTGAATGAGTTTACAACTGGATCTTTATTTAAATAAATATATTTGTATTTAAAGAAATAGTTCATCAATTTTCCACAATAATCTTTTCCACTATTGCAGAATACAACAAAATATTTTTATCCTTTTTAATGCTAACAAAAGGCAAGAAAGCAAATTATTATGACCCCTCAAAATGCCATATTAAGTTGTATGTTTGGCACCTGGTGCCCTCACAAAATTCACGCTACTTCTTGGGACTCCGCGATATTTTCTTTACTTATTGTCAGTGTTCAAGGTATCCTATTTTCTTGGTAGAACTGGGTTCGTCACTACAAGGAATGTAAAATAAATTCAGTCATTATTGTGTGTGAAATTGTCACCTGGCAAAAAGTAAGCCCAAAAATACTAGTTTTAAGCTTAGAATGGAATGTACCTCTTTCTAATTTATTTATCAAATATTTAATTTATTTAATTATTATAACTTTTAATATATAACACAAAATAAAAATAATAATAATTATTATTATTATTATGGTTATATAACTTATTTTTACTTTTAATAAAAGGGGAAGGGATGACATGTAATTATTTAAGGGTGTTCAAAAATTATTTTTTTTGACAACTAATAATTTGTACATAAAAACATTAATTGTTATGACACTGAGACAAACAGTTTTCTATTCCGTGTTTGAAATTGGCATGGAAATTTCTATTAGAAATCTCTCTTTAACTTAAGTTACTTTTGTTCATCAATCCACACTATTTGTGGTTGTGGTTATTGTGTTGTTTTTCATTTTTAATAAAAAACAATATGTATATACATATATACATATGTACATATAATATAATGAAATATTAAACAAGGTATGTACGTTCTATTTTTCATAATGTCATATTGTTTTTCAGCCGGTTTTAAGAGGACTGGAGAAAATTGGTCACAAAGTTGAGCGGTATCGCAATCGGGGATCCATCATTTGTGCAGTGGCAAAGCAGAACAATAGTGTTATAGCTAATGCAGACTTTAGAAAAGGAGGTGAAGTGTTTGGTTTGGACTGAAAGAAAGGGCTGGCTCCTTTCAAAGGTTTGAAAGATCTGTTTTTAAGCCTATGTGCAGATGGCAGACTATGGTAGACAGGTTGCTACAATCTGTTAAAGTGATAATGGAATTATCATGGCTCGGGTAGAATTAGCTCACCCTGAGGCACTCAGAGAAGCTTTTTTTTTTATTTATACGTTTTATTTATAAGTTGTCAGAACTTCAATTACCTTTAATAGATGACTTAAATACTCATAATGAAGCACTCTGAATTGATAAAAGTAATCTCTGTTTCTAGAAAGACTTTATGTTTCCATCAGAGACTCCCAGTTGTATGTATTAATGTGTTAAATTATGAGTGATAATTAATTACTCTCTGAATGGGGGCACTCTTTCTATTGGCAAACTTTCCTTTGTTGAACTGGCTTGAAGTCAGGTCAGTGTTTGAGGCATCTGCTGTCCTTTTCCTCTTTGTTCTTCCTGATTTTGAGTCTGATCTTGGTAGTCACTGTGTGAACATTCCATGCAATATTTGCCAGTGTAAGATGTGTTTCTAGATGCTAGGCTGCCTAATTTCCTACTGACTTGGTGCTATCCATTGGACTCTTTGATGTGGCTTGAATGTCAATGAAACATCTGCCTCTGTGGACTCCTAAGTGTGTAGTGCTTTTGTGCAGTGTAGAATGAGCCAGTGGGCAAAACTAGCAGCAGTCTGCTCATCTGGACTGCTAAATATCCAGCAGCGTCACAATGGTTGTAAATGTAAATGAGTAAATAAACTCGAATGTTGAACATGTATTTTGTTAATCCCCAACATTAATATTATCACTTGTACTTTTATGTTCTGATCTCCCTTTTCCCATCCCAGTTTTAGTTTTATATTTATAATGTAGAAAAATAAAAGTACCTAAAAAATAAATTTTAAAAATTGAATATGACTATTATTAAATCTATTGATGATTGAGGATCATAATACATTAATGCATATATATGATGTTAAATAGAAATAACTTTAATTACATCTCTTCAGCCTGCAACACATTCTTGCCAAGCTGGATCTGTGCCACTCTGTTCCACTCCTTCCCTTACCATGATCATCCCAACCTTCTCAATGCCATCCTACCCATCAAAGCCATCCCACCTGCCAGCCATCCCTATCAGTAGAGTGCTCTCTTGAGCCTTCCCCCATTCCGCCACTTTATACCCTCCTGTTCTATCCTGCCTATTCATTCCATCCAACCCCACCCTGCCTTACCTGTTACTACTAATTTTCAATTTTGATCTTGAATTGCATGAAGCCTAATCATGGAATTGGAATGAATCAAAATGGATTTAGTTGAGAATTTTATGGGTCAGTCAGTATTCATTTGGAGCCAATATTTTCAACATGTGCAAGTTATTCACAAAAAACTGCAAAAGAGAGTGCACTTAAAATTCAACTCTAAGGATGATGGGGATGGAGTTCCATGATATAAGTACTATCGTGAAGAATTACTCCAAATTGAGGTGTGTCAGTAATACATGTTTCTTTTGGTTTCAACATTAACATATTTTCCAAGACTTGGGTATTACATTATAAATATTTAGAAATTTAAAAAACAAAGAAATTTAAATGACCAAGAGGTTTTGGGGACAAGATAGCAACAAGTGAAATAATGGAAAACATAACTGATATAACTTCACGAAGAAGTCAAAAAACAGTGAGAAGATTTTACACCAAGATTCATGTAGGCCTGCCAGTTGATCAAAACAAGACTTAAAAGCATCAGTCTAATTGGACATCAGCCAGGTCTAATTTGAAATATCATAGGTTTGATCTGTTCCAACAATAAAGAGGTTGTGATTAAAAATTGCGTACAAAAAATCGTTTTGCTGGAAATATGTTGTTCATTATTTCAAATGTCCAAAACCTTATTTTCTGGATTTTTTTTATCTTTTAGCAAAACTTATTTGGTTGCTACAAAAAAAAATGGTTTAAGATATCTGAATATATTTTGTTTTGTGTGTGATTATAAAAGATGTTGACAATTCATGTTTAATCATCCATGAATTCAAAGAGTATTTTTACAAAAATTAATCTAATTAAACAAAAATTAAATTTAATTAAAATTTTAAAAGATTCTACAAAACTACATAATAAATAGAATCAGCATCAGAAAAAAAATTGGTACAAAGAGAGATTTTAGAGGATAAAAATATATAAGTGGCGTTGCTTTACTTTTATTCTTACTACAAGATTTACTTTCTGCAATCCTATTTTTAAAATACTTTATAGCATCATGCTATTAGCCAACTTAAAACATAAGCATACTGCTTTTATTATCTCAAAAGAAAGAAAGGAAAGGAGTAGTTTTTAAGCATCTCTAATTCACAATCTCTAATTTACAATGTAATTCAATATCGTAATATTTAGTTTCTAATAAAGCCAATTCAGAGGCAATTTAACTAACTGGATTCAGAGGCAGTTTAACTAGCTGGATCTGTGCAGAAACTCTGCTCTTTGTAAATATAATTGTTTTAAAAATTAAAAATTACTTCATAGTAAAACTTAACTTTGAACAGAGTACCTGAACTGCGTTACTGCCTTCTTCCCTGTCCGGTGATGCCGCATCACAGCCTGTGACGTGGCATCAGCCATACAGCAAAGAAGGTATGGGATCAAGCTGCGGAAGCTTATGTTTTCATGTGCATTACTGCTTTATAGGCCTGGAACTGTGTGAGAACAACCATTCCTTGTGGCGAGCATTTAGATTAAGTTGCACAGGAAGTTAAACAGTCCCTTTATTTTACTCTGAAATCTTTTTTTCTGACTTTTTCCTTCAGTTTAATTTTATGTAGATTTTGGGTTTCTATTTTCACACACAGAAGAATTAATATCCAACAATCTAATAGAAAGTTAAAATATCTTAGTTTGTAGAATATAATTACAAAACACATTTGGAGCTGGACCTGCCACCTTCATTTACCCACATATCCTCAAAACTCGTATTCTCACATCTGTGCCTTTCAAACTTGTGTCTCTTTGAGGCACAGAAATCTGCTTTTAAGGGCACAGGATGCACTGTTTTCAAGCTAAACATGATTAGAATGAGTTTTGCTGTAACGTTTTTTTTATGGCTATCTGCAAACTTTTATTTTTTCAATTACATCTCAAATATGTTGGATGCAGGATGGTAACTCCCTACCCAGTAAAACACACTTATGGGATTTTGTGTTTATAATTTCTTTTTGAAAAATTGTCAAAAACCATCTTCTATTGTTAGTGTATTATGTGTAGAGAGGATACTTTAAAAATATAAATTATTTTCTACATTTTATTTAAACAGAGTTCAGGAAAGTATTATACATGCAAAAAATTAAATATTTTGGAAAACAGTACAGTTAACACTGTATGAAAATATGTAAAATAATTGGGTTTCAGAACATAATTTTGTAAATTGTAATAATTTGAAATTAATATTTTTAAAATTTTCTCAGACATAACAACAACAACAATAATAATAATAAATAATAATAATATAATATGATATTATTATTATTATTATTATTATTATTATTATTATTATTATTATTATTATTATTATTACTATTATTTTGGAAATGATTATTAATATTAATAAATACATTTTTTAAATCATGAATTATCAGAATTACAAATTCCAAAAATAACAAACTATAATATAATGCTTTTAAATGTTTGTACTCCTCTTTTCCTTCCTGAAAACATTTGTTCATTTACTAAATGCTTTTTTACTAGAGATTAAAATTTGTAAGGTGTACAAACTATAAAATAATTATTTATATTTGTCACCATCCCGTCACCTTGTTGGCATAATTATGCTCGGAGAATATATTCTGCAGTCCAAATTGTGACCACATTACTGAGTACCAATGCATTTTAATTATTAAATTTGTTCAAAGAATTGGTTGTCCCAACCAGGACTCTTCATTTCACTCAATATTGAATGAAAACACTTTAATTATTAAGAAAATGTACATAACTTTAATTGAAGATCTAATTACAGAGGACAAATTTCATTTAAAGAAAAAATCTCTATCTTTAACTTTGTATTTGTAGTAAAATGACCAAAAAAGAAAATTTTAATTTCCAAAAATTCTTGAAAATTGGACCTGTACCACCTTTATAAGTGTATTTCACTCTATTCGTTCAAGAAATGTAAAGAAAAAATTTGAAGCTATCTGAGAAAATTTGAAAATGTCTGGAGCAAATGTTTGTCAATTCCTGCCAAAAATGCTAATTTCATCGGTATTCAGAATTCAACTTGTGTATGGGTTAGGGTAGGTATCCCCGAACTTCTGAAAACTTGCACAGAATACTTCTCTCCACAGCATGTTACCACAGTTTTTAACTTAAACAAACAAGTAAATAAAATAATATATGTGGTAACTGGTGATATATTATATTATAATGTTTAGGCACAGCATGTGAAAATAGTTAGTTCATTCTGATTTCAATTTTGAGGGAATTATTAGCTACACTCTTACATCGAGTTTTTCACATATCATGAATGTTTCTAAGTCAGATACAGGCAGACGATTGCAATAACAGAAGATAGGGAATGGACCATCCATTGAAGATTTGAATTATAATTTAAAAACCAAGTGATATAGTCTGGGATTTTAGCAAAGAAATGTGCCCATAAACGGTGTTTGTTTCACTAGTATTTTCAAGTTTTGAATGTAATTTTTATTTTTTATCTTAGTTGATTTTAATTCTGATTTTTGTGAACTTTAATGTAAAATTTGAGTATGAAATGAAAACAATAGTTGTGCAGAGGTGCCAACTTGACAGAGTGACATTTAAACCCAATTTTCTCAATTATTTTTTTCTCCAAGAAACTGGTACTGTCATTCGTTACGAAATACAACACAGGATATGATGCATTTTTGTCACAGTAACTTCTGGAATTCCTGTTTATATTCTAATGTCTCTCAGGCACCGTTAAAGCTCACACTGTTTTCCCAATTTCCAAATGTTCTATTTACAGTTTTATGTTTAATTAATATTGTCAATTTTTTGGTGGGCCGTACACTTATCCTATTTTATTGGAGGGCTGAAGTAGCCTGTGCCCCATAGATATTAGTGCCTATGGAGCTGAGTGAGCCATGTAACCGAAAATACATAAATATGTTCTTTTATTATGATTTACTATCAGAACCCAGCAAACTTTATCAACTCTATATTTTCCCCTTCTCCCACTCACTCTTTTTCTCACTGTGTCTTTTTCCATCTTTCCCTCACCATCTTCCCCCTCCCTTCTCTTTCTCTCTCTCTCTCTCTCTTCCTTTTCTCTTTCCCCATCTCAATTTTTCCCTCATCTTCTTTCCGCTCTCTTCATCCCACACCCGCTCTTCCTGTCTTCCTCCTCGCCCCGCACGTCACTCGGCTCGGAATTGCTTTTAACTGAAGCGCCATCTAGTGGAGTTACAACAAAATGAACAGCATAAATACCTTTACCATTAAAAATCACATAGATGAGCCAACGGCTTAACGGCTAGCCATCAAGAGGCGTTGAAGTTCATCGATCTCGAACATGCCAACATCCATTTATATGTAGATTAATGTAATTGGTGTATCTTTTGACTAATTTGTAAAAAGTATGAAGTGCATATACGGTTTTGAAACTATAAATTATTAAATATTATTCTTTTCATCTTCCAATAATTTTTTAGACTTCGAGAACACTGGCATTCCGCCGCGGATAAACGAAATCGGAATCCCTGGAAGATGTAAAAAACCGCAGGGTGAAAAAATTAGCGGTGCTAAAACAGCACGTACTTTCTCGCCTTTAGTAATGTTTATGTAATACTATTTATACCACAATTTCTCTCCGAATTAACACACATCAGTCATAATTTTTTTGTAAAACTGATTTGAAATCGTAG